CCAGGAGGTCCAGCGGGGCAAATGACGCTGGAAAATTATTACGTTTTCAGTGCATCAAAAAAATTTGAAGTTAACAACTAAAATATTTCAAATAAAAAAATTATTAACCAGGGGGAACTTGGTTCTGGATCTAATGGGATATCAAGACCATCCAATCCAGGCTTTCCAGGTCTTCCCACCTCACCGTCAGCACCAGGTTCACCATCAACACCTGGTGGTCCAGGAGCTCCTGGTGGACATTGTAATTTTACGCAACTTGTGCATTGTAATAATTCGGGCTCTGCTCCTCCATGTGGCCCATAACCTTAATTATCAACACTGCTTAAATATATTCAAATTCTCCAATAGCTTTTTTAAAAATTATATTGCTATGTGTTATCCAAAATTTTATTGAATAATAATGCTTACTTTGCCTCTTTCCTCTTCTGTTTGCTTTCAACACAATTACTTCTTGCCATAATTGTCGAGAATTAAACTTAAAAACCATAAATTTATTATTACCTGACAAGGTTAAAATGTAACAATCAAAGAGCAGTTAACTCCTACTATTTTTGAAACAGTCGTCTTATTATCCGTTTCAAACAGCTGTCTTATCCGACTGCACCTGCCCGTAACTTTATTTCATTGATTTCTAAATCAAAAACGACAAAAAACAACAAAACTTTTCGCTAGTTTAAAGAACCTCGTCAGCTACCTTGAAAGTCTTAGAACGTTCCGACAGTTCAACTTGTGCGTCACTAAGTTTGTAGTAAAGAAACGGTAGCATAAATGACAGCAAAATAATGCAGAACAGTGAAACAACTGTTGCAAAATAGGCAAATTTAGTGGTATTATCGCCTTCATTGAGGTCGGTTTTGGCATCCATTTTGTCCAAAAGCTGGCTAAATTTATTTTGGTAATGCAGATTATACAAAAAAACATAGAGTTGAATCTAAGAAATTATGAATGAAAAATACGCCAAACTGTAAAGCGAGTATGATCCTGTAAAAAAAATAGGAAATTTAATAATATATAGTCCTTTTTGGAGAACCATAGAGATAAGATGAGAAAAAAAAATTTAGAAAAAATTTATCTGATTACATCTAATTTATTTGAATAAATAGTCCTCCTGCACAAATACTTGGTGTTGAAAAAACTCAATTTCCTTTCTTTTTTCTGCTGGTAAAAAAAGAATTTGTCAAAAGAGTAGGAGTTTCAACGAAGAAACTCAAGTAGAAGAATATAAAAAAAAAACGTAATAGTCTTTTTATTGACTGAAACATGCAACAGAGAGGGATAAGAAGATGTGAGAACAAAGACGAAAAAAAAAACAGAATTAGATTTTCGGTTTTCTAAAACGGGTTATTTCACCAAAACTAACTATTTGTTATTAAAATCTAATTTTCATTTTTTGTTCTACAATTGGGTCAAACACACACACACACACACACACAAACACACACAATTAACCAGCAGCTTCAGCAGTTCTTGAACCGGTAATCTCAGGGTCATATATTGCAAATATCTTTATACATTTCACCAACATCACCATCGTTATCATAATCAACATCATAACCTTCTTCTTCTTCTCCACCCTACATTTCTAATTGACAAAATAGTCAGAAAAAAAAGCTTGAATTTTAAAAGATGCAAAAAGAAAAAATTAGTACTGAATAGTGTAATATGACATTAATTTAATGCAGAAGCATCTGTCTGACTTGATACTTACAAATGGTCAACTTGGACAAATTTATCTGCTACTCATTTGATACCCACTGACGTTGCTTTGTTTTACTTATCAAAGTGTTGCATAAAACAAGAAAAAACAATTGTCATTATTCAATGCTGCTAACCAACATTAAAAGAAACAACAAAAGTAGAAAAAAAAAAGTGGGATTATAAATGTTCTAAAAAAAAAATTGTTTTTTTTTTCTCGTGACTGATATAATTGATATAACAAAATACAATTAACTGATAAAACCCTGTCAATAAAAAAAAAAAA